AAAAATGGTGAGGATTTGTTCCTTCAGAGATATTCTGACAAAGATGAAAGGTCAACATAAAGGGCAGTAAGATGTATGAACCCCAAACTAGTATTTCCAGACAAACTGATCATATCTTGACAGTCTGTTGCTCTAGTCTATCATTTGAAAGTATGTTCCAAGATGAATAGAAACAGGGAACAAGATAAAAGGCATAAAACTATATTAAACCTAGGAAATTCCTTCTTTAGACAAATGATAAATTTACTGAATCTGTACTAAGGAGCAGACTGATTATGTATAATACTCAGACAATCTTCCTCTTGAATTGTTAATGGCTGAGAGACAGTCAAATGCCCTGTAGAACAAATTATGATCTTGTTTCAACAAGGGTCAAAATGGCAGGAGTTGGGCTGGCCCTGTAGCAGAGCAATTAATTGCTATACAGAAGGAATAAGATCCCACATGGCCAACTGTGGTTTGAATCCCAGTGCAGCAGCTTGAAAAACATGCTGTGCACATGTGGCCATGCCCAGGATCTTGGTGGGAAGAAGTAATGGAGGACAAGTAGACTATGGCATGACTGAGCCCCTCGGGGGTGCTTACTCTCTCTCATGTGAGCATGTACCCCTTGGCAAAAAAAAAAAAAAAAAAAAAAAAGGCTGGAGTCATAAAGGCTAGAGTCATCTATAGCATAGGATTAGAGGGATGAATTTGGACAAGGCTTGGTTGGTATGGCTGAAGATCCTATTCCCTTTACAGACTGTCTTTTTCTATTATTATATCTATTTACTTACTGGGGAAATTTCCCATGCCCAAACCAAAAACAGAAATGACAAGTTAAAAGAGAAAGACTATGGAAACAACAGAAGAACTAGAATAGATATCAAGCAGTTCCTCTCTTAGGTTTCAGAAAAGTCTGGAAGTAACTTCCTTAAATCAGAAAAAAAGATAGAGCCCCAAATACGTAACAGTGACTACCAGCAATTATAACATAATGCCCAGATGCTGCCCTTGAAGTTAAGCGGCCCCTACATGCCTTATAGTATTTGGCAGAAAGCCAGCTACCTTAGGTCTTAGGGGAGCACAGTGATTGAAAGATACGGTCACTTACCAGGGCCTCTCTCTTCCTCCTCTGTCGGCTGCTCCTTCTCTGCCTTGGGCGGACCTTTGATTTTATACACCAGGGTGCGGAGCTTTCCTGTCCAGGAAGTGTCTTCCTCCTCCTCCTCCTCTTCCTCCAAGGGAACTCCTAGCAAACCACAGAACAGAGTGAGAACCCTCAATAATACGTGAAACATGCATATTAGAAAGAACTAAAAAAACCCAAACCTGCTTCCCATTCTTCTGGAACTTTCTAAAAGTACCACCAACAGTCTCCCATGAACATTTACCTATATTATGCCTTTGAGGATGTTTTCTAAAACGATGATATCTTATAGACAAGAATATCAAACAATTTTAAACTCAAGGCATTACTTTTTCTAACCTATATTGAAAAAGGGCTCTAGAGTCTCTTAGACTTTCTTCTTTCTTAGAAAAGAAGTGAGCTATTTCCAATGAGGAGCTCATAAATTACCCTCTGTTACTCAACCTACCCGTGTGTAACAGGCACAAATCTGAGAGCCACTTAAAATGGACAGTTGTGTATCAAAGCAGGAACTGACTTAGAATCCTTAGGGATAGAAGTTACTGTCCCCACCCTGCCTCCCGATACATGCACACGTAAGCACGTGCGCGCACACTGTGACGACAAACAAGCAAAGGGGATCAGATTCTTAGCTCAACTGAGAACACAGAGTCCCAACTATCAAACTGTAAGTAAATTGGGTGAGATTCATCTATCAATTGCTTTCCTCTTTTTTTCCCAAGGCCCTGTTTCCTTTCTATATCTCGGCAAAATCTCTTTTGAGAAGATGGAATTTTAAGCATGTACTCAGCAGTGGTTTTTCCTATATGTTCTCATTTTCAAGTAGTTTGGATAAACTTATTTCTTAAACAATTAGTATTGGAACTTGGAATACAAAAGTAATGTAACAATCCCCCACTAGCTTTCTGATGAAGGAACCAGGAACAGACTTTTCTTGGATAAAGCCTTTTGCTCAGAAGCTCACCACAGTGAACAAGAAGGTCCTCGTGGAAGTCATATAGTTCCTCTCGGATCTCCTCTGGGCAGGGGCAGTTCTCTCCCAGTTGAAAGTTAAGAAGCATGTTGATCTTTGAGGGCAGAAGAAGAATGGCCAGTGGGTTCTCAATGTCAGTCAAGGAAACTCAGATCCTGACTTAGACAGACACATTCTTTGCAAATCTTATTTAGCTACAGTTATTATTATTTTTTTATATAAAGTGGCTAATGTAAAAAAGTAGTTTTTACTTGGGCCAGCAGGTGGCATGAAAGTCAAGGTGCTGGATTCCACACGGCCAACTCTGTAGTTCAAGTCCTGAACCCAGCAGCTTGAAAATCACACTGGACGGGTCCAGCAGGTGGTACAGTGGTTAAGGTGCTGGTTCCAACATGGCTGACCACTGCTTGAGTCCAGGATCTGGTGGCTTGGAAATCGCACCAGGTACATGTGTGTGTGTACGCAAAATACCCAGAGGAGAATGAAAGGAGAACGGACTGCCATGCCATGTGGGGTGATTGCTTCCTAGGGGATGATTTCTCACTTTCCCTCCCTGTCACTCTCTCTGGTGAGCGCATGTGCCCTATGACAAAAACTTAAAAAGAAAGAGAGAAAGAAAAAGAGAGAGAAATTCTCGCTCTGTGCATGTATGAACATGCCTAAAATCCTGAGAGAAAAATGGAGGAGAAGGTATTGCAGCATGGCCTCCTCCTTAGTGTGTGATTTCTCACTTTCCCTCTCTCTCTGGTGAGCAAACGTGCCCTATAGCAAAAAAGAAACAAAAACAACTTTTATCTCTCTTCTGATCCTAAAGGTAACTTCTTTTTCTTTTTTTGGAGAGATTTTCACTATAGGGCGCGTGCGCTCGCCAGACAGACAGAGAGAGACATTAGAGACAGAAAGCGAGAAATCACCCCCCAGGGGGGATGGTCACGCCGCAATCCCTTCTCCTCTATTCTCCTCTCGGGATCTTGGGCACACACGCACATGCGCCCGGTGTGAGTTTTAAGCCACCGGGTCCGGGACGTGAACCGCGGTCGACTACGTGGGAGTCCAGCGACATAGCCATTATGCTAACTGCTGGTTCCCCTAAAGGTAACTTCTTGATGCATAAAGAAAAATCTACAGAAAAAAAAATTACTGTTGCCTCACCACCAAAAAATAAACACTGGGGACCAGCAGATGGCTGGTGTAACAGTTACATCACTGGACACTCACATAGTCAACTGTAGTTGCAGTCCTGGATCCAGTGGCTTAAAACTCCTGCTGGGAGCATGTGTGTGCATGCCCAAGATCCTGGGAGGAGGATGGAGAAAGGATTGCAGTGTGGCCATCCCCCCCTGGGGGATGATTTCTTGCTTTCTGTCTGGGAAGTGCACATGCCCTATAGCAAAAATCTCTCTAAAAATTTTAAGAAAAAAAAACCTTGTTAATATTTCAGTTAATATCTTCCCTTCTCCTCCATATTCTTCTTGAAATTTTGGGCACATATGCACATGCGCCTAGTGTGTTTCAAGCCCCCAGGTTCAGGACTCAAACTCTGGTCAGCCATGTGGGAGTCTAGCGTCTTAACAACTATGCCACCTGCTGGCCTCTCTAGATATACTTTTTTTTTTTGGAGAGATTTTCGCTATAGGGCGCGTGCGCTCGCCAGACAGACAGAGAGACATAGAGACAGAAAGCGAGAAATCACCTCCCAGAGGGGATGGTCACGCCGCAATCCCTTCTCCTCCATTCTCCTCTCGGGATCTTGGGCATGCACGCACACACGCCCGGCGTGAGTTTTAAGCCACCGAGTCCGGGACGTGAACCACGGTCGACTACGTGGGAGTCCAGCGACATAGCCATTACGCTAACTGCTGGTTCCCTAGATATACTTTTTTCAAACCAGATTTTTCCACTTAATTTATCTTGAATATTTTATACTCTTGACCTTATTTTTAATAGGTGCATTGTATCTAATTGTATGGATGGCTAATAATTTATATAAAATTAATTTTGTTGTAATATATTTGAGTTGTTCTATTTTTGTTCTTATAAAGTTGAACTTCCTTATACATAACTTTTGCTATTATCTCTGATCATTTTCTTAAGATAAACTCCTAGAAGCAAAATGATTGGAGTAACAGGTTTGCATATTTTGATGGCTTTTGATAAAAACTGCAACACTCTCCTTCAGAAAGCTCCCAACAATTTGTGTTATTATCAAATTTGTATTGGTTTGCCACCTACATTATAGTAATGAAAGTTAACACATTTTCAAATATTTTCCAATTTAATGGGCGAAAATGTAGTATTCCTATTGCTTTAATCGGTCAGGTTGGACTCTGTTTCCACACATAGAGACCAATTTTATTTCATATTTTATAAATTTCCTGTTTGTGTTCTTCCTGTAATTTTCTTTCTTTTCTCTCTCTTTTTTTTTTTTTTTCTTTAAGAGAGAAGGATGGGACTGGAGAGACAGAGAGAAGGTTTCCTTAAATGGAATTTACTAGAATCAAGGTTATATGGTGGTGTCCCCTTGACCAAGTCCTGGAGTTTATAAGGAGAGGGAAGGAGACAGAGACTCATG